GACAAGGCCTCGTACAAGACGAACTCCTGACTGAAAACAGACAAATTAATCACAACAGTTCAATGTTGAGTTCAGAGTTCAACATATATAGCACAAAAACAGAGAATGACATATACATTTGATCAGTATATATCTCACCTTAGTCAACTGGTTGGTTGCATATACACGTAAACGATCATCAAAGGAGGATAATATCTCATTTGCCTGTGAAACAAACAAGGACACACTGCAGCTTAACTAAACATGTTATTTCAAGACACAATGAATATAGAAATTGAGACTAAGCTTGCCTCAATCAACGTGACGTGAATGTAGTCTTTGACATGAGCATATCTTTGATGAACATCCTTCAGGATAAAATCACTAAGTTCGCCGCTGAACTCAACTCCTGTCGGACCACCTCCAACTACAACACAGTGTAAGAGTCTACGCTTTTCTTCCTCACTAACTCCTGCCTCAATCCATGACCAAAAGTGAGAAGAAATCAACATTGTCCGGATCATGACTTAACTTCATCCAATATAACAGTAAAGTCACAAACTTACGTTTTGTGACAGTAAAGTAATCAAACTATGTGTGCATTGTTCAAAACTTACAAACACTTGCCACATGAGGCTAATTTGCATCTGTATGTTGTGATCATTTGTATTTTTCGAGCACTTCACACATAGTTTACTATTATAAAAGGTGAAGTTGAGTGATCGTAACATTATAACGAAAACAACAACATATACCAGGCACATCAGACAACATGAGATTTAGAAGTAGTTTCCTCCGTATTTCCTGAGCATGATGAACTTCACGAAGAAATGTGGCGTGCTCGTTTACACCCTTAATTCCAAATGTCAAAGCATGTGCTCCAGATGCAATCACTAACTTGTCATATGAAACATTAAACTTCCATGGCTCCAAGGTTTCAACTCCCTCTGTCACAGTTTGGCATTGTATCTACAAGTACCACACAAATTGATAAAGAAACAGATTGGGAAGAATCTAACTGTCAAGTTGTATTACGACATATCCAAAAAAAATTGACACAATTCCACTTGTAGATTATTCGATATGATTTTTACAACTTTCAAGAATTCAAATCATAACATAGTCTCTCCTTAAACTATGTATATATTTTTTCAATTTTATCGGATATCCACAAAGGGACTTCTAATAAGACTCATTCTAATAATCGAGTTTAATCAGCTCCTACTTTGAAGTAAGACTACGGGTCATTTTGAAGCTCAGTAGCTAAAGTGTTCTTGCGTGTTAAAGGGATACATAAATTTTGGGCTACCAAATAAAACCACACCATTCCACTCACCTAGGGTACAAACAATTATAGGATCTCATAAATGCCAACATACTGGATAAACAGAGGAATTTAGGTCTTGGAACTGAAAGTAGAAAACAAAAAACAATAGCATTCAAGGTTGCGACCTAGTGGTCAATGAATCCATGAGGTCCCAGGTGGTTAGAGTTACTCGATAACTGTGCTGATGAGAGGCAGTAGTAGGTATCCTATAGAATTAGGTAACTGACTTGAACGCCATAATTATTATTTTTTTTTAAAAAGGGAAAAACAATAAAAGAAGCAAACTAGGCATACCACATGTTTATCAAAATCAATGTCATTGCACCACCTAGCCTAGTGGATAATAAAGTGGATAAAAAAATCATGAGGCCTCATATGGATAGAGTTACTCAGTAACTGTGTTAGGTAATAGATAGATGGTAAAGAAACTAGGTGTGCACAAACTGGTCTGAACATCACGATTATGAAAAAAGAAAAAAAACAAACAATAAACGGAGAAAACTAGGCATACCACATGTTTATCAAAATCAATGTCATTGCACCAAAGGCGTGTCCTAGTGGTCAATAAAGTGGATAAAAAATCATGAGGCCTCATATGGATAGAGTTACTCTATAACTGTGTTGGTGGGAGGTAATTGGTAGATGGTAAAGAAACCAGGTGTGCACAAACTAGTCTGAACACCACGATTATGAAAAAAAGAAAAACAATAACAAACGATAAAAGGAGAAAACTAGGCATACCACATGTTTATCAAAATCAATGTCATTGCACCAAATGACGTATCCTAGTGGTCAATAAAGTGGATAAAAAAATCATGAGGCGTCATATGAATAGAGTTACTCGGTAACTGTGCTGGTGGGAGGTAATAGGTACATGGTAAAGAAACTATAGGTGTGCACAAACTGGTCTGAACACACGATTATGAAAAAAAGCAAAGTAGGCATACCATATGATTATCAAAATCAATGGCATTGCAATTAGCAAGAAAGAAATAAGAAGCTGGTTGTGTTGAAACAGCAGGTTGAATCCTTCCAATAGGTTCAGCAACAGACCTAAACTCAAGAGTACCAACACAAGTAGATGCTAATAATGGAGTGAACACCATATGATTCCTAGGTGACACACACACAACATCATAAATATTTGTGTCAATGTCTTTCATTAGCCTACATCCTGCCCATCCAGAACCTAACACAACAATTCTTGGCTTTTGGTCACTTTTTGTTGCTTCCAAACCAACAACATGATCATTAGTAGAGTATTGTTTAGTGAATTGTAGAAATTGAGCAAGTAAAGGTGAGGCTAATGGAGTTATAGATTTGTAAGATGATGATTGGTTTGTAATTGTTTTGGAGATTTTGATGAGATTCTTGAACCATGGCATTGTGTCACTAAAAAAAAGAATTCTACTTTTTGTTGGCAAAATATTTATTTTCAAGTGACAAACAAATTTTTAGCTAAGTAATAGTAACACATATACCCCCTACACTTGTCATGATTATTAGGACATCATTCTTCAACAATGACAATCTCTTATTTTCCTACCCAACCAATATATAATATGTTCTTTTATTTATTTTCCTGGTTTAACTTGTTGGTATTATTTAATTTTGTTGATTTCTGTATACTCTATTAATTAGATAAGAATTATTTACTTCTAGGCAAATATTTCACATTGATGAAATAGTTTGTTCTTAATTTTGTTGATTATGGTATCTTCTAATAAATAAAAAAGATAAATATTATTTAACTTAGTTCATTCTTATATTCGCTGATTAATTAGATAAGAGTTATTTAATTTTGGAAAAATATTTTACACTGCTGATATAATTTTAAGACAATATCCAATACGATTTCAAGTTTTATTTTTGTATTAATTAATATATTATTGTAGTAATATTTATGTAATTTTCAACAAACTATTAGAAGAATCTTACTTAAAATATTATCATAGTAATACTCTAACTTCAACAATATATGTATGCTTATTTTAATTTTATGACTTTTAAAAGTTTAATTTGGTGCAAACTAAAGGATAGGGAATAGGTGGCATCTAACATATATACCACAAGTAGAGGCATCAAGTGGGGTCCCCATTGTAGATAAGGAGTACCCTTGTGCACAAGGTGTAGTACCTTTGGAAGTTTAATTTTTTTTTGCAGTAGAAACATTTTATTTGAAATGATGTCTTTTGGCATAATAGACATTTTAATTTGACATTAACTAATTATAACTAAATACTCCAATTTTATGGATGCACTTTCAAATATCTCAGTTTGTTTTTATTGTATCAGTTAAACATTTCAACTTATAAAATAATCATGTAGATACATTCAAAATTTATGTTTCACGTTAATATTAGTGTCTACGCAATTACATAAAACTTACATAATTGTATGCAAGTTTTATGTGTTTGATCGGATTCTGTGCAACAAAAAGTTGTATACAACTTATATGTAAGCGGTATATTTTGATCGAATTCTGTATAAATAAAAAGTTATATATAAATTATATGCTTTGACCAGATTTGTATATATTCTGTCAAAAAAAAAAAAACTCTAGCTACTTTTGAAAACTTATAGCTAAAGCAGGTAATTATTGTCTCAATTTGTATCTATAGGGAAAAAAACTCCTATATATATTGTACTAGATATGGGACCCCGTGCTAGCACGGGGCCCAATATATGTTACTATTTCTGTTTCAATTTATGTGGTACATATGAAATTTGAAGTTAATCAATTTTTTAGTATGTTTTTATATATTTTAAGTTGCTAATTATTTTTATTTAGAGTATGTTTTACGTAAATATATTATAAATCACAATAATTAACAAGTTAATATAAAAAGAAACTTATAAAAAATTCATTGACTTTTGAAATTTCATTTGTATCACATAAATCAGGACAAAGCGAGTAATATATATGAAAATTATATAAAACGTACTATAACTCACAATAATTAGCAACTTAAAATATCTATATATCTATATTTCTCCCAATTTATGTGGTATAGATGAAATTTTGAAAGTTAACAAAAACTTTTTATATGTTTTCAAATATTTTAAGCTATTAATTATTATGATTTATAATACTTTTTACATAAAAAATTTATTTATATAAAGTATAAAATAAAAAAAATTTAAAATGAAAACATAAATGTCAGCACGAGTCCAATCTATGTTAATTTCTATGTTTTAATTATTGTAATACCGATTGAATTTGGAGAGCCAACTAAATTTTTTT